GGTCCACATTTGCTCCTATCCCCCATATAAAGCCTCTTTTAGAAAATAAGTTTTTCGTCAATAAATTGCTTAAATAAATCGGAATCAAGGTAATATTCAAGATAAATGATTTATTATGAAAAATAAATCACCTTTAATATGTTTTCATAACTGGTGTAGGGTATCATATGGTCGGCCAAGCCCGACTATACTTTCTTACTTGTTTGCTTCTGTAGTATTTGTGCATTTCAAAACTAGTCGTTTAGAAATTACTGATTTGTTTCCAAAAAATATGGTTGCTGATGATGTCAATTCACTCCTCGGACTTTTCTTAGAATGATTTGACTTAGGGGCGAACCAGAGAACCAAATAATCTGGTATTACGGGTGGCCAGTTGCCCGCAGGGCTTGTCCTGGCTGATCAGGTGGTTGAGGTTCCTTCGGGGTACACTTGGTGGCTGTAGTTTAAAGCCTAATTCACAGGAAGAGAAAGTGGCGGTTAAAAGACTGATGCACAGTGTAATGTATAATTCGGAAACAGTTCGGTATGTTGCCGAATGACAACAGATATACAACTGAGAGAGAAGTGCCTGTGGGACTAAGCATTGGAAATGAGTTGGTGTTAAATAAAGGACGAATGTAGCATTATGCGAATCTCATCCGCCCGTACACCTAGAGTGAGTATGTCGTATATTGTTATCTTATGAGTGTGTCGGATGAATGAGAAGTGCGCAGGATTGAAAGGTGATGGATGAAAGGTATCTTATGCAAGTGATGCCATTGAATTTTCTTTCCTTGTCCAGGTATATTCTGGGAAAACTCTTTTCATACCAGATTTACCACAGTGTGTTCTCTGTGAGTAAGAATAAAGTCTTCGGTTTTTTTGAAGAATTCATACTTCGGTTTACCGGTTACGTCTCTAGGTGCTGTTGCTAACTCAACAGAGGCCATCCCATTTAAGTGGTTGTAAACCGAAGTGATGTTTTTGCATCTCGGAAGTTAAGAAACGGAGCAGCAATTGTCAGAGATTATATAGATCAAGAGCTTGAGCAAAGTGCTTTTACATGAACCGGAACAGCCATATACAAAAATTGTAACATGCGTGTAAGATACACAATGGGGCGGAGGTGAGCCGTCACAGAAGCTCAGACCACCGTGAAATAGGCCAACACGGAGGTGCTCACCTAAAGCACATCATACTGGACGGTTATGCATAAACATTAGACTTTCAATAGCACACCAGTAATAGAAATTGTGAGGCACTGATCACAGATTAAATAACATGATCAAGCGCAACACCAAATCAAACACTCATGAGGACATCTAAACTGGAAGATATTTTATCTCTGATGTCCTGATGGCATCTTCATTGAAAACACTATAACCGAGATGTACAAAACTAGTTTACACATTTCAATATCGGAAAAATCTCGGGATATCATTAAGCTTAGACTCAGATTATATATCACCAAGGCTAGATATGAAGTAACTGCCAAGAAACTATCACACAGAAAAAAGGATGGTTGAAAATCGGTAATTATGACTGATATTTAATAAGGAAAACTAAAATTGTATTCTTAACATTGAAAAACTATAACCACAACAAATTTTCTATGATTGATGTTAATAAATTATAGTTACGATCAAATTGAGGATACTGGAATATTTAGTCAGTTGTGTCTACCGATTTGTACGGTTACTAAATTTATTTTAAATATTTTTGTAAATACCACCGAATTTTTTCGTCATTATTCGTAACAATTTCAAAAAGAGGTAGATGTAATCGAAAAATTATTTGTATTTAAAACATATTAATCAGAAAATATGTTTCAGATACTGCAACCAAATTAATAATTATACAAATGTAGGAATTCAGTTATGATATATTAATATACTAAAATTAAATTCGGTATTCGCAACCGACCATAAATATGAAGTAGTTATGTATTTTTTGAAGTTTCTAAAAAAATATTGAAAAAGTTTCATAAAAATTTCAAAATAAAAGTAAAAAGAAAATAAATTAGCCTGGAAAATGTAAAAAGATTGGATATAGGGCCGATAAATAAGGTTTAAGGTCAGTAAGTATCTTTTAAGTAAATTTACGTCAAGCTAATGATGTGTCTAATTATATTTTCCCTAATTCGATAGCTATCAGCAGTTCAAATGACCATTTGGAAGCCAAGAATAGTCAGAATCAAAGATTATATTACAAATAACGATCATTATTTCATAATCGTTGCAATTACAACAGGTAACAAATTTATATTGCGAATATGTACATATAACAATATGTAAAAAATAACTTATAACATGTAGGTTTTCTTTCGATGGACTTCTATTGGATAAACTTCTTCCAAAATAATCTAATGGTTATCGATCTGATTATGTTTGACTCAGCCAAGAAATTTGCAACACGAAAACCACTAAGAATATCCCACATATAGGAGATGAGAATGGAGGTGTACATTTTATTACTTTATTTTAAAATTTCTGTGTTTTTTATTTTTCTGTTTACACTGAAAAGGAAATAAAAATGACAATTATTTTTATAATTCACAATAGAAAATATAAATATAATATTTCAATTATTACTACAGATATTCTAGTTACTGCTACCGTAAAAATTCAGTTAATCTAATCGAATTGTGGGTTTGTTGTGGTAACCGACCAAATTCGATAGGCAACAAATTCGGTTACCACAATGAATCTGTTTTCTCTGTGTAGTTTCTCTTAACGGCTAGAGCAGGGCATTCACAGAGAAGTTGCAATACCGTTTCTTTTTTTTTTCCTGTCCGACTTGCATGTCTGTCTTGCATCCAGTGTCCTTTTATTACTGCTATCAACCTTGATATATCCCTCATATTTCGGTTTATAAGGTGTTTTGTACGTTTCTCATTGAAGGAAGGCCACAACAACTTGGCCCCTTAACATGTGTCTAGGTTATTCCATTTCTATTTCCAACCTTTTGAAGAAATAATCTGAGGATACTGCTCTTGATAAAAGCTAACGGAGTTGATACGGAAATGGCGTTGGAGATATCAAGAGCAGATCCTGTTCTGGCAAGCTCATCCGCCTATTCATTTACATAATAGCCCCTATGCACAGAGAACCAGCCTTGACAAATCCTATTTGCACAGTCTAACTAATAGGGTAATAGGGAAGTGGTAGTATAAGAGTGTAGTGAGAGAAGTGCTGCTTAACTATCGACAAAAATACCTATGTTGCCGCGTATAAAGACCATTTTATACATTTCCAGGGTTTCCAGATATCATGTCATGAAGTGTAAAAAAATCGTTTTGGTCACATTTTAGACGCTATAACAACTCAAAGACACTGTCAGTTCTAAAATTTGTAATGTCTTCTGGAAGTCCAATCTGTCGACTTTAAAATAAAGATTTAATCTCTGCTATATTTTCATTCTTTCTCGATCCCTTAGAAAAATGTACATGGATTTCGACTTTTTCTTTATTTTGATCTGTATAATTGAGAATAGAAGGATATACAAGCATGACAGAGGAATTCCCTGTAGCCACTTGAAAGAATGGAATAGTTCTAGTGTCACTGCAATAGATCCAAATAGCTTGGGAGCTTTGTTATACCAAATATTACATCCTTTAGGAACACTGTTTGGCAAATTGTAATAAACAACTTCCAGGAAATTATGTTTCTGAAATCAATAGTATTCCGAATAAGTATAGATCAAAGTTGGGAAGGTAACAAAGAGTTGTATTAACTGCTCGTATTACATTTAATGTCTTAATTTGTCAGCATAAGACCTCGATTAATATTGACATGGACAACAGTGACTACTAATGTGATCGGCTTTTCAACCGGGTTTAAACCCGTTTTTTCTAGTTTTTTTTTTTAAATGTTCACATTTTGATTATTGAAAAGTATTTGGTTTCGAATACTTTTATACAGAATGTTGGGCCTATATTATATTTTTCTAATGGAGCTTTTGTTATGTTAGTATTTAAGTAGTTACATATGTATGTAGTTATTTGTAAGTCATTACTTGAGTCCTTCTGAATAATGCAGAATGCTTTTATGTAATACAGACGGTAAGTACAAATCATTACCATGTTTCTGCTGGGTATGTGAAGAGGGTCTCGATATATTACATATGTTATGTAAAATGTTCCACTAATTTCGATGGATAAAAAATACTGTTTACTTTTTGAGAAATATAATATTTGATCGGAGAAAGTAATGACTTTATTATATAATATCGAAAGAAATACAGTCCACATTTCATTAAATTTAGTTTTAATTAATTAATTTTATTTTATTCACTATTAAACATAAAATATTAATTAATTACACTGACAAAAACAAATAAAAATATTGCAAACATACACGATAATAACTTTAAAAAAGACTAAAATTATTTAATATTTTAAAATTTAACTTGAGGTTAAAGAAAAATTAAAATAAAAACATTTTGGCAAGTATTATAAAACAACAACAACAAATGACACTTGGAAAATAGTTTAGTTGAATTAAAAGTGATGCACCAAAAAACAATAAAAATAAATATTGAACAACATTAAAAGAAATATATTTTTTTATATGATTTTTCGTTCGTTCGTTTTAGCGGACAATAAAGTCTTTTAGTAATAAAGTGAATATTAAACTTAAGATTATTTTTTTAATGTTTTAAACTCAAATAGGGCAGACCCATTTGTCTCACATACACACTACGCTCAGCAGTGGAACAGGGTGGGCATCTAACAATTAAAATGCCATCGGAGGATAATTCAGCACGCACATCATTGGGATAATAACCACGGGGTAAAATAAATCTCTTGACTATATGACGACCCACAAAACTATCACCATCACGACGTTTTTCATGTTTGGCTTCCACTATAATTGTATCGGCTGATGTTTTCACAGTTATCTCGTAGGGCTTAAAGGGACCCACATCTATGTTGGCTTCAAAGCCATCTTTGCCCACCACAACACGACTTAGATCGGGTGCCGAACCGACACGTGATAAACTACGTTTGTAATAGGGTAAATCCCAATCGATTAGATCCCAATCACGCCATAAACGTCTGCGATAATCCCAATAGTCCCAATCGGTATTGCTGGTATTTGAGGGTACTAAAGCCATGTTATAAGTATTTAAAGTTTTGGAATTGATTTAATTTCTCTCCTTTTTCGTAAGTTCTACAATACAAGCAACACTAAACTTTATCCGTTATTTCCACACGATTAATTTGTTTTTTTTTAGAATTTTAGTTTTTCTTCTTTGGTATGATTTTATATATTTTTTGTTGTATTTTTCAAATATGTTCCGTTTGAGTGATTTCTTTTGTATTGTTCGATGTTCACTAGTTTCGCGATTTTTTGCAAATAAACTGTCATCCCTGGTTTGAATGGCTTTTTATAGAGCATTTGTTCAGCTTAAACACACAAAGACACCGACATCTCACATTAATTGAACAGAGCGCGCCCAAACAATGACGAAAATGTTGTTTAAGCCCAGACAACAACAAACAGTTGCCCAAGTTCAGTTTTTTTTTTTTTGTTAATACAAAAGATATAGAATTCTACTACTGTCATTTAACGACTGATGTGTGTAGGTTCTTTCTATGGTCAAATGTTCATTAGAACTGGACTAAAGTTAACATTTTCATTCTGCTCTATTATTGCTCTATTTCGAATTACAAGATCTTAACTTTCTTTGTATTTGAATACTTACACAGGAAATTAAGTGGAGCTACTTAAAAATGTCTAGTTTGGAAGAGTGGAGGTTGTTGTTTAAGTTTGTTATGTGACGTTAAACTGTAAATGTAAACAAGTTGTAAATGCCAAAAATGCTAAGAGAATTAAATGAAGTAAATATTTTTCACTTTAATTGGAAAATATTTAGTTACAGCATTTTTATAATTAGTTTGAATACTTTAATGGTCGTTTATTTCAAATATAATGTAAATGACAATCGCTTGTATTACACTCTAATGGGATGCTTAAACTGGTGATAGTATTCTGTATAGTCCATATATAGTATGAAATAACTCTGTCTTATCAGAAACCTGGCAATTTATTCTAAGAAAATTGGCATGAAGAAGGCAACAAAGCTATTCAAAATCCGAATTTGTAATGTTAACTAGTAAACTTTCAATATAAATTAGGGTGAAATGTCGAAGTGATTTATGTAAAAACACCCGCCGTGTCGGCCTTATTATATCCTACACCACTTTAGTGGGGAGGGTATATTGGGTTTGTGCTGATGTTTGTAACGCACAATAATATTGGTCCTATACCCACCTTAAAGTATACAAATCGGCTTAGAATCATTTTCTGAGGCGATTTACAGAAATTTGGTACATGATCTTCTATTGTCCCAGGGACGAAGCCTATTGAAAATGGTTACGATCGGTCCATTATTTCAACTAGCCCCCATACAACTGAACCCCTGAATAGGACTTGTAAATCTTGTAATCAAACTACAGGTCGTAATTTTGAAGATAATTCAATGAAATTTGGCACACGATCTTCTATGGTACCAGAGACGAAGTTTATTGAAAATGGTTAACATCGGTCCATTATTTCACCTAGCCCCCATACAACTGAACCCCCGAATAGGGCTTGTAAACCTTGTAATCAAACTACAGGTCGCAATTTTGAAGATAATGAAATTTGGCACACGATCTTCTATGGTACCGGAGACGAAGCCTGTTGAAAATGGTTAACATCGGTCCATTATTTCTCCTAGCCCCCATACAACTGAACCGTACTAATAGGGCTTTTAAGTTCATAATTATGTTTAATATACTCGTATCTCGACAAAAAGCTGCAAAACCAAGTTCTCTACTAGCCTTAATGAGCCTCATGAATTTTTTAATTATAGGGTCTCATTTGACCATAGCCCCTTTTCAAAGCCCACAATAAATGGCTTAAGTATATCTGAGGCAAGGTACAATTCAACTTAAATGCTTTATTATGAAAACTAAAAAATATTTTATTTGTAACAGGTGTAGGGTATTATATGGTCGGCCTCGCCCGACTATAATTTCTTACTTGTTTTACTATGGTCTCTTCCATCCACAGGGTGAGCATCTTTGATGACTTATCACAGCTTCTTGAAATATCTGGCAATTTTTTTTACATATTTTTGCCGTACCATGCTCAAGTACTCAAGCTATCTCTGACCATTGATAGCCCGTTTCTTAACATCCGAGATGCAAAAACATCACTTCTGTTTAAAACCACGCAGATGGGATGGCCTCTGTTAAGTTGGCAACAACACCTAGAGACGTATCCGGTAGACCGAAATACAAATCCATCAAATAAGCCGGAGACTTTGTACTTACTGACAGAAAACACACTTTGGTAAATCTGGTATAAACTGAGTTTTCCGTGAACTTACCTGGACAAGGAAGGAAAATACAATGGTACACTTGAATAAGATACCTTTCATCCATCACCATTCAACCCGGCACACTTCCCATTCACTCGACACACCCATAGAGAACAATATCCGACACACTCATTCTAAGTATACGGGCAGGATAACACCCGTATACCCTTACATTCATACTGTATCATATACATTTAACACCAACTCATTTCCAAAGCTTAGTCCCACAGTCACTCCTCTGTGGGGTATCTGTTGACTTCGGCAACAGCACCGAACTTATTCCGAATTATAGATTTCACCGTGCATCATTCTTTTAACCGACATTCTATTCCCGCGAATTTGGGTTTAAAACACGTGCAACCCGAAGGTTAATCTCCAATAACTAAGGCAAGACAAAGTCCGTAACTCTGCCCTGTGGGCTACCGGTTCCCGTGGTAACAGATTATGTGGTTCTCTGTTTCAATCCCATATCAAATCATTCCAAGGAAAAGCCGAGGATGCAATTGATCATCACAGTTTATAGATCCGGCAGGCTAAAGGTACTAGTAGCACCTCTTTTCCCCGGGATTGCAATCACACCAAGATGGGGTCTTTCATCAAGGTAACATGCCGTCGGATGGAACATTAGGGTAAATTATTTTTTATTTTTCTCTGTTTAAAGGTAGTGGGTTGAACGAACGGTCGAATCATACTCTACACTGAAAGAAAAACGCTTCTTAATCCCAATGAAACTTTTACGATAACCTGTTTACGTTAATGCAATGAAAAGTTTCGTTAATGATACGAAATTTTACCTTGTATTTACGGAAATTACATTAATATAACGATGTATGTGCGCATGTTACAGGTCACAATTTTCTCTCGGCCCAAGGACGAAGCCTATTGGAATTGTTTGAATGGTCGGTCTATTATTTCACCGAGCTCCTCAGATAGGGCCCTTTAGACGATAATTATATTAAATGTTCTAGTATCTCTACAAAAACCGAACACATTATAGATTGGTATGGATATAAATATTACTGCCAAATTTCATAATGATCAGGCCACATTTGAACCTATCCTATAAGGCCCATATTTATTTTTGGCACCGTGTAACCCCTCATTAAAAAAATCACTTTTTAATACCATTATTTGAAGAACGACAGCGAACTAACGTGCGAAGAGCCCAGGTTCGCATTCTAACTCCCTATTTGCAAGTACTCTTTTAAGTAGTTATTTGTAAGCGACTGTTTAATTAATGAGTTAAAATGTTAATGAAGAAGAAGCGAAAAGCTTCTTTACTACAATTTCTGGTTAAGTATAATAAAATAAATTAATTATTTGCGGAAACTAATAAAACTTAATTCCTAATAAAGCCTCAAGATTTCACTCATAAATTATGCGTATTTTACTGCCAATGCTTATCTTAAAAATATTAGGCTTTAAATTAATAATTTTAATTTAATTTTCCTACATACATACAATGTATATTTTACATACATATCCATATGTAGTGTAAAATCATAAAAAGAGACATTGCACAGTGGTATAGGAAAAAAAAAGAGGGAAATAATTCGGTAACTTCTAAACGGTTAATCCGATTTTAATGAAATTTGGTATGCACAAAGAGGAGGTGTTGTCGAGTTTAGGTTTTGAATTTGGACCTTATAGGCCAACCAGGGGCCCGGCGGGGGGTCCTCAAATTAGGACACCTCGGCTATGTTAAATTTTTAAAACGATCCTATTTCTTCATTTGAGTTCCGATTTAAAAAAAATTTCGTATATAGAATCTCCTCATCGAGCACTATAAAAAATGTTGTCGTAGCAGTAAATTATCTCTTATAGTTTAGGAGATATTCGCATTTGAATATTAAAATTTTAAAATTTTTACCGTCCTTACTTTAGTTTTTTTGATAATAGCAGGTCCAAATATTTCCGATTTTCGCCATTTTTTTTTATTTGCTTAACAACAAGTTTATATACCAAGCAGTGAAAGAATTATGTAAAAATCATGACTGAGTCCAAAGTTATAGGCATTTAAATTTAAAAAATTAAAAAAAGGCGATTTTTTGTCATTTTTTTGGGAAAAAAGTATCTTTTTCTTTTTAAGTTATCTAAAAAGTTTCTAAGAAGATGTATATAGAATTTATACTTTTTGGAAAGCTGACTTTACATAAAATACGATAAATGAAACAAAACCTAAAAATTTTTGATACCGAGGGGACCAGGTCCATCCAAAAAAACCCTATTTTTTATGGAAAATTAAATTTTGAGCAAAAATTCTCAAATCGCATAGTCGATATCAAATTATAGTGACCTGTTTTATATGACCCAATAAGTTCTTAATCATTTTGTAACGGGTTTCGATAACCCCGCCCCTGGTATGGATATAATAGGCAAAAAACCAAAAAATCCCATTTTTGGGATTTTTTAAAACTTTTTTGGGAATTCCGGGATTTCTAATAAGAAAATTCGAAATTTTTATTTAATTTTGGATTTTGAGTAAAAAAATCTACCTAACTGTAAAATTTCATCAAAAAATATTCATAAATAAAATTTTTATTGCAATTTGAAAAATTTGTATCTTCGCAAAAACTGAATAAAAAACATTTTTTAATTTTTTTTAAAAAAAGTATTCCGCGAATTTTTTAATTTTCAAAAATTATATACAGTTTTGAAAAATAGACAAAATTACCTTTCCATTGATATATAACATGCCTACCTAATGTTTTTTAAGTGACAAATTAATTAGGGAAAACTCAACATCTTTTAGAAAATTTGCCTAGCACTATTATTTTCATCCATAAGGTTAACTCTTAAATTTGTTACATATATGGATGAAAATAATAGTGCTAGGTAAATTTTCTAAAAGATGTTGAGTTTTCCCTAATTAATTTGTCACTTAAAAAACATTAGGTAGGCATGTTATATATCAATGGAAAGGTAATTTTGTCTATTTTTCAAAACTGTATATAATTTTTGAAAATTAAAAAATTCGCGGAATACTTTTTTTAAAAAAAATTAAAAAATGT